TACCTGGTAAAGAAGACATCCTGAGCCCTAGATGTCTCTAACACAGACCAACCCAATGTTTTCCTCCTCCAACAATTTGTTCCTGATGTAGAGCCTACTGGGTTTGGTGACTGAGTATACATGGAAGAAAGTCAGGAATTTAGAACATTCTCTGACAATGGCAATAAAAATGTCTGATTATTCTAAGGCCTCTCCCTCCCCACCCCCACATTAGTGCAAAGGGTAAACTGCTACTAATGTCACAAAGGGTGGAAGGGTGCAGGGTGACTACCCACTCTTGGTTTATGTTTCACATTCTCAGTCCAGGGGTCTTTCTACCTCTTACTGCCCATTGGACTTTCTGGGCATCTGTTTTATGACTGGGTTGCAGAACCTTGTGGCACTTTAACGATGGCTCCCTAGCATTAGTGAAACCAGAAACTGGGGCTTACCCCAAATCTGAGGGTCTGTTCAAAGAATGATGCCCTTAGAAACTGAGGAAGGTAAGCAGCAGCACACACAAAGTGTGTATATTGAGGTCTTCCCATAATAACTACCTGAGAATTTGAGTGTGCTCATGATCTAATTAGGGATATCCCCAAAAGTCATCTGCAGTCTAAAAAATGTAAGATAAAATTATACATTTTAAAGCTCCATATGGAATTTTGCTCTTCCCACAAGCAGTTTACTGAGCATCTATCCTATGTGCCAGGCACCATGCTGAGGACTGGAACACTGCAGTGAATAAAACAGACCCTGTCCCCATGGTCTAGCAGGAATTGCAAAAGCTAGTGTTGACCCAGCACTGTCCCAGTGTCTGCGACTTTGGGTTTGACAAATAGGGCCTCCTGTCCCTAGAAGGTGACCTGTAATATTACAGTAGGGGCAATTCTTCCACTTCCCATAAAATAGCACACAAGACCCCTCCCCCCCATCCCTTTTGTCCTCACTCACCAAAGCCATCTGTTATTAACGAAGGCCAGAAATATCTCCATAATAAGAAAGAAAGCCATAGAGAAGGAATGAGAGGTATTCTTTAACTTACACACTGGCCTCTTTGAGTGTGGTCACATTCACTGCTGTGATAGTACCAACTCCGGGTAAATGAGCAAAGCCTTGGTTTTGAACTTGCAAAACAAAGGCCCAGATGTCAGTTGATGGTGAAAAGAGCTACAGCTTGGGAAACAGATGTCAATCAGCGTCAATCCAGTGATCATCAGCGCAACCCTCTCCTGTCCACTCTTTCTTACCCCTCAAGGACACCATATCGTCTAGTGTTAAATACACTTTCACACACACACTCTATTTTAAAGTCTCCAACAACCCATTGGGGGATATTTCAACCTCATTTCATAGATGAGAAAATCAAACCTTCCAGAAAACATGTTCAGTTCCCCACAGCTGTAATGCAAAGCCAATGCTCAGACCCAGATCCTCAGGCTCCAAACCAACGTGCTTTCCACTATCCTGTAGCTGTCTACTCTAGTCATTTTAGGTCTTCTTTCTTTTTGCACATGTTTCAGCATGTCCTGATGGGCAACTATCCTACAACCTGCCAGTTTTCTGGGAGCAGCCAGATCACTCCCCTGTTCCCTGTCCTGTCTTGTCCAAGCAGATTAGTGCTGCACCCAAACCTCTTTTGCTTCCCATAGGAATCCCATATCTATCATGGATGTCTGTGGACCTGCTTTTAGAAATAGTGGGGAGCACATGGGTGGCACACAATGAGGTTTTCTAGGAATCTATTAATAGTTTTGCAGAGGCTGCTCAGAATTTTAAATTGACTGATTTCAAGATAAATTACCTCCTGAGAAAGGCATTTTTCCCCTGCTCTTCCCTTCAACACTTCTCGTCCTTAATATGGATTTGATTTTTGGGTGCTTTTCTTTTACCCCCTATGGCTTGGCCTTACACCCTGTGCTCAGAAGATAGGGATATTAAGAGGTAGAAGCATTATCTACCAAGAAGGCTGAGGGACTGGCGTGGCTCAGTGGTTGAGCGTTGACCTATAAACCAGGAGGTCACGGTTCAGTTCTGGTTGGGGCACATGCCCGGGTTGCAGGCTCGATCCATGAGCGGGGAGCAGCCAATCAATGATTCTTTCAGATCATTGATGTTTCTGTCTCTCTTTCTCCCTTCCTCTCTGAAACTAATAAAAAATATTTTAAAAAAAGAAGGCTTAGGGAAACAGATCTAGCCCTCCTTGGCCTCTGTAGGAATTGGCAGTGCTCCTTAAGACCTTTATGCAGAAAGGAACTGCTGTTTTCAAAGTCCTGGAAAAATGTCCATGGATGGATCCCAGTGCCTTTTTAAACCTCCTGAGTTAATAACTACTATTTTGGGGGCGAGGTATATATGCATAAGTCAGAAACTGGGGAAATTTTTTTATTATACTGAAATTAAAATGTACCTATGTAAAGTCTCAGGGTTTGGGGAACATAATTCTGCCTTTTATGTTAAAAAACACATACTTCTGTTCAACAATGTTTATTTGCTTTAACTAGGTCAGTGGTGATAAAATAAAAATGAAGATACTGAAAATCAGTATGCTTTTGAAAAGAACATTATATTATAAATGTCACTCCTAATATATTAAGATGAGTCAATTAGTAGACTATGTCATAACTAGAAACAAAAATATTAAACAAAGGTAACAATAATGTGTATAAACTAAAATATCTTCAGTTTCAAAATTAGCAATAATATTACTTTCCAATTAAGAAGCTTTCCTGTATAAGATATAAAATATAATATAAAGATACTAGACATCATTAGCCATGCATTTTCAAATACCTTTGTAACAATAAAATACACCAAAAAAAAAATTCAATAAGTTCTGGCCCGTGTTCTGACATTTATATCGGAGAGCTTAGTTTTCCAGTCAAGCTCTGGATTATAAATTAAGAATCAACTGACTCTTTTAACCAGGTCAGAATAAAACAGAGCCATTGTGCGTGTGGATGGGCTCTGCTGTGGTTTGCCATAGTCACTTGTAACGTGGAAGAGTTCTCTCCGGTCTGATCAGCCCATTTGCAAATAAGACCTCATTTCCAAAGAAGGTATAAAACAGCGGCCAAAATGAAATTCCAGCGAAAGGAGCTGCCATTTTCCCTCCATTCCAATAGGACACATAAGCCTAGTTTAAAAGCCAATTATTTCTATTGATGCAACAAATTCTTGGGTCAGGCCACCACCTCTATAATTCTATGTGAGTTTAGGGCTCAGGACTTACTGAATTGCAAGCCAAGAAGCAACCTCGTCAACATGAAAAACCACCGGAGAGCCGCTGCCCTCTGCATCCTGCCCTGGTGCTTTTGACAGTGACAGCACCACTCCCCTCATTTTGCCGCCCTTCCCACACCCCGCCCAGCCCTATAAAGCTCTCCATCTCATCCTCTGCTAGGCTGACCACTTCCTATAAGTGCCTGGTGCTGGAGGCAGCAGTGGTAGAAGACCTAGCATTTAGCTAATAACTTTAGAAAAAAGCAGGAGGGTGGGACACAGGAGTGGGCCTCTTTTCGCTGGACATGCCAGTTCTCCCTCTTAATTACTAAGCCCGGAGCCCATGGAAAGAAGACAATACAGGGCTATCTTCCCACTCACACAAACACAGAGACTAATGGATGTTACTTTAGTTCACTGACACTTTCACAACACAAACTTAAATAATGCCCAGACGTTCATTTAATAGGGCACATAATTTTTCCTTCAGTCGGACTGTCTGTACATGGAATGGGAATACAATATAACAAGGTCTATTTTTAAAAAACCGTGCTACAGTTCTCAAACCTCTCATAAGCACACATGCGACATGGGGATACCTAGGTATTGTAAAAACTGTATTTGTCTTACCAAGGGCTACAGAAAACCACTTGAAGTTGTTGGCCTTCTCACCCCTGGGACCCTCAACTTGTACTGTTCAGCAGGCAGCCATTCCCAAGGGCCAGGGCCCTGAGTTAGTCCAGGACCCTATCCCAGCCCTGTCTCCAGTGACCCGAGGCCACTTAGATCATCCCACGAGTGTCCATGAGGAAGATGGTAAAATGGCAAGGAGACATGTGAAACAGAGCACGGCCCCTGGTTAGCATGGACTGTCCTCAACATGCATGATGCAGTCAACCAGGCCGCAGTAACTGGCTCAGCAGAGGAAGGTCAGGTACTGCAGGAGTCACCAAAGGGCATTTTTCACTCTGACACCTGTGTGAAGGGGGAGATGCCAGTGCAGTTTTAGAGACTCTCAATCCTGGAATTGTCCACCTGACATTGTTTCAGGTGTTGGATTAGAATGCACACGTGCTAAGATGACTTTGTAACATTGGGTTATATGCTTTTCTTAATCATACTGACCTCATTCACTCCATACACCCCAGCAGCTCACCTGGCTCAGGGTGGATACTCAGAAAATCTGAGATCTGAGTTAATCGTTCAAGTCCCCTCTCCCACATGGCCTTGAATATCCCCATCCTTAACAGTAAAGGTCCCCAGACAGAGAGAGGCAGTGGTTCCCTTAGAGAAAAAACAACCCTAAACTTAAACACATTTAAGTCACCATTAGCGAACGTAATTCCATCGCAGGCTGAAAAGTCCCAGCTCTGACTGCTCCGCGGAGGAGCTGTGGGACTTGAGCATGCCACTGCATCTCGGTGGGCCTCGTACCCTCAGCTTAAGTGGGGCCAATAGTCCAGTGAGTTGTCAGGTTTCTTCTTTCCCATGAAGTCCACTCCCATAGCCCCACCCCACCTGCAGCCCCCTCCCAGCTATAGCTCTGTGGCTGAGGGGGTCCTGGAGCCCTAGGGTTCCCCTCCAGCAGGCCCGTGCTCTCCACATTTGTGACCAGGTTTGCGAGGGGTTTGGGGGGCGGGACCCAGGGACAGGGGGCAGTGATCTTTTGAACAGTCCTAGCATAAATGAGGGTCAGTATTAAGCAAGCATTACTCTTCATAAACTAGTACTGACATCTAGCCAAAAGCCTTAATGGAAAAAAGATTCTTCTTTAAACAATAACTTTCTTTATCTTTAAGGAACATTGCCAAGGATGCAGAAGGAAATGAAGATGATCAAAGATGAGGATGCGCATTTCAACCTGGGTGTGAAGAGGCCCCCCTCTTTCCCCCACTGCCTGCAGCCAGTGGTTTCCCGGGGCAAAGCTCCCCAAAGACACCCCTTCCCAGAAGCTCTCAGGGGGCCTTTCTCCCAGTTCCGGTACGAACCTCCTCTCGGAGACCTGGATGGCTTCCCGGGGGTCTTTGAAGGAGGAGGGTCCCGGAAACGCAAGAGCGTGCCCACCAAGATGCCCTACACCCACCCCTCTGAGGAAGCCGCCCTGGGCCTCCACTCCGAGGAGAGCAAACTCCATGGCCACCCGAACTTCCCTCTGCTGTTCCCGCAGCCCCCGCGCCCCAAATACGACTCGCAGATGATCGACCTGTGCAACGTGGGCTTCCAGTTCTACCGCAGCCTGGAGCCCCTGGGCGGCAAGCGCGTCAAGCAGGAGCCGGTGAAGCCCAGCGCCGTGTGGCCCCAGCCTGCGCCCGCGCCCTTCCTGCCCACGCCCTACCCCTACTACCCCAAGGTGCCCCCGGGCCTCCTGTTCCCCTTCTTCGTGCCCACAGCCTCCCCGTTCCCCTTCAGCCGGCACGCCTTCCTGCCCAAGCAGCCCCCCGACCCGCTGCTGCCCCGCAAGGCGGAGCCCCCGGAGGGCGAGGAGGCCAAGCAGAAGGTGGAGCGGATGGACGTGAACGTGCAGATCGACGACAGCTACTACGTGGACGTGGGCGGGGCGCAGAAGCGCTGGCAGTGCCCCACCTGCGAGAAGTCCTACACGTCCAAGTACAACCTGGTCACGCACATCCTGGGCCACAGCGGGATCAAGCCGCACGCGTGCACCCGCTGCGGGAAGCTCTTCAAGCAGCTCAGCCACCTGCACACGCACATGCTCACGCACCAGGGCACGCGGCCCCACAAGTGCCAGGTGTGCCACAAGGCCTTCACCCAGACCAGCCACCTGAAGCGCCACATGATGCAGCACAGCGAGGTGAAGCCGCACAACTGCCGCGTGTGCGGCCGGGGCTTCGCCTACCCCAGCGAGCTCAAGGCCCACGAGGCCAAGCACGCCAACGGGCGCGAGAACATCTGCGTGGAGTGCGGCCTCGACTTCCCCACCCTGGCGCAGCTGAAGCGGCACCTCACCACGCACCGCGGGCCCATCCAGTACAACTGCTCCGAGTGCGACAAGACCTTCCAGTACCCGAGCCAGCTGCAGAACCACATGATGAAGCACAAGGACATCCGGCCCTACATCTGCTCCGAGTGCGGCATGGAGTTCGTGCAGCCCCACCACCTGAAGCAACACTCGCTCACCCACAAGGTACGCGGGACCCCAGCCTGGGGCGGGCCACCTGGCTGCGCCTGGGGTCAGGGGCCAGGAGACCGCGCTGCTCCCCACCTCCGCCAGGAGGAGCTGTGCAGCCCTGCGCGGCGGCTCCCCTCCCCTGAGCCCTGTTGTCCTCCCTCACCTGCCAATGGGGAGAATGAGGAGACTAGCAGTCAAGTCCTTTCCTCTAGGGTCTGAGATGGGCCTAGAAATAAATAATGTGGACTGTTCGGAGAAGAGGGTGGGAAGGAGGAAGGAAGCAGCAGGTCTGTGTGCTCTGGCTTCTTCGTTTCCTAGAATTTGTAAAATTCTGTTTCTGGAAACGTCATTCAGGGTGCCAGCATGAGTGTGTCATCAGGCTTTATCTACCGGAGACCGGTCCTGTGCCTGAGTACATTCATCAGCGCCTTTTTCTAGAGAACTCTCTTGGTTCCTTGCTGCTGAAGCAGTGGTTTCCTTTCCCCCGTCTTCTCCCTCAACTGTGAGACCTGCTTCATGTGCAGGTGGCTCTGGGGGAACAGAGGCTGCGTCCAGCGGGGTCTGTGCTTCCCTGGTGGAGCCCCTGCGCAGTTGACTGTGGTGCCCCGTGGTTTGTATGGAGGAGGCATGAGAGAGCATCCTTCTCTGGTTAGATTTTATCTTCCCTGAGCAGGGTCTTCAAGGAGAAATACAGGCCCACAGGTCTCAGTTCAGCCGAGTTTGTAACCAGAGCCCTGGAGTCATCCAGGGTGAACTAAAACAAGGCGCCAGTGGTGTCCCAAAATCTTACCCAGATGAGCTGACTTGGGGCTGCTTTGAGCTTCTGAGAGGGAAGGCTTGCTCCACTGACCTTTACCTCACACCTTTGACCTCAAGTGGTTTTCTTGGCAAGAGAGACTTCCAGAAAGACAGAGTTCCTAAAACATTCTTCAGTTCTGAAAGGTCCATGGAGGACTCTTCCCAGTCAAGATGCCCTTTCTATTCTGCCATGATGGGTTTTATCTGATAGGTTAGGACATAGCACAGGGCATTTCTAGCTCCGCTGCAGCGATCAGATGTGTGGCTGCCTTATGAACACTGTGCAGACAGCTCCTGCCCCACACAAGCACCGGTAGATAGCATCCGGAGAAGAGGGGCCTGCCGAGTGCAGGGATCATCAACAAAGAAACTACACTTCAGCAGCCAAAGAGATAATTTTATGGGGCTCCTACGTGTGTGGATAAGGAATCAAAGGTGCATTTTGAAACATAAAAATTCTGTAAGTCAAATGGGAAAACAGCCTGGTATCTGAAATAAGTCTCCTTTAAATTAAGAAACAGAATGCATTTTAATAAAGGGTGTCAGCAAACAGCAAGGGGTAGTATTAATTGAATGCTTCTGTGTGGCAGCTGCTTTACTTTGCATGTAATCCCCTTCAGCAATGCTAAGAGCTACTTGTCAGTATCATTACTCTAAAATTGCAATTGAGACGCTGAGGCATGGGGCAGCCACCCAGAATCTCTGACTCCAGTACCTGAGCTCTTGAACCCTATTGCCAAGACTTCCCTTCCCCTAACAACTCCACAAACTCCCCCTCTGTGATTCTACTGATCCTTTTAGAGACACAGTAGCTTCCTGTGTCCCACAAAGTTGTGTCCAGGCTCCCATTCACTTGTGTTCGAGGCCACCCCACATGTGAATTTTACTTTTAACACAGATTTCTCTTTAGAAAATTCCAAAACAGTGATAAGTAGATACTTCTTGGTCCCAGCACGACTGGATCATAGCCAGTATAGAGACAATCTTGAGGAGAAAGATCCTAAGTAAATTTTATAAGCCATCAAGAAAATAGTTTTCATTAATTTCATAATTTTAAACTCACTATTTGAATATGCAACACATATTTTAAATTGAGATATCTTCATTAGCATCAGTCCGTACTCCTCTGCAATAATTAGACTAGAGAGCATTCCAGGTTCTCATGGCTTATCTCTTCATCTTGAGATGAGGAAACCTTCACCAGGAAAGGCCACAAGACTTGCTTTAGGCCTGTGGTCGGCAAACTGTGGCTCGCGAGCCACATGCGGCTCTTTGGACCCTTGAGTGTGGCTCTTCCTAAGCCTTAAGATGACCCTAATTGAGTTAATAACAATGAACCTACCTATACAGTTTAAGTTTAAAAAATTTGGCTCTCAAAAGAAATTTCAATTGTTGTACTGTTGATATTTGGCTCTGTTGACTAATGAGTTTGCCGACCACTGCCTTAGGCTATGCAGCCAGTAAGTGGCTGGGCAGAGATCTGAACTCACCCTTTAGTGTCACGGGCTCATCAAAACGAAGGAATGGTACTTTCTTACCGTGTCCCAAATTAAAGAACTGAAAATACAGGCAGGGAGAGGCAGAGCTAAGCATGGAACCCCTCCCTCCATAAGTCACTATAAATACCAGCCAAGATGGGATTTATAAAGTACAGTTGTTAGCTAGGCAACTTGATCTAAGCCTGTATTAACCTTAATTTTAATGCTAGAGTTCTCTAAACTTTCCTTCCAAAAAGTCATTCTGGACCAAGATTCCTTGCAAAGGCTTTTACAGGGAAGCACTGGTTAGTCAGGATCAGTTAATATTCTATTCCTGCTATGAGTCCCTAGAAATGCTTTCAACTAAGGGCATTGATGCTTAAGTTTTTCAAACACTTCTCCACAAACAGCAAGGAAACTAGAAAATCTCCTTTTCTAATTCAGAAAGCTATCATCTGTCACATTTCTCTATAGGACAGAAGCTGACTTAGAGGAGGTTCTACACCCAAATCAAACAGAGGTCACTGTGGCCTATAGGAACTCAGGGGACCATCTCAAGAGGTGATTATCAAGTTGTACTTTATGGAAGTGTGGATATAAGTTGTTCTTCTGGGATTTTCAAGTCCATTAATAAGAACTCAAGATATGGGAAATGATATTATCAGTTTGGGAGGTATTTTTCTCATTATCATGAAAGCAGGATTATAGATTCATTTCGAATATCATTCCACAGTGCTCCTACCAAAATCCCGTTAATCCCCAAGAACTGTTACTATAGAATTAACCCCAGCAGCAGCAGGAACAACAAAAGTATTAGCTTTCCTTTTCTCTAACTTTATGTAGTTTATGGTTTTTGGAGAAGAAAAAGATTATGTAATTAACATTTTTCAGGAAAATAGCAATTTAACAAGGCTATAGCCACACCATTTGGAACTAAATATCTACCAACAAGTTCATCATGGATTTATGCAGCAGAAAGAAAAACAAAGACTACAACCCAGATGAAAGCAGGATACCTGCTAACCACAGTTGTTTTGAATCTTGCCTCCCTGCAGGGTGTGAAGGAGCACAAGTGTGGGATTTGCGGGCGGGAGTTCACTCTGTTGGCCAACATGAAGAGACACGTGCTGATCCACACCAACATCCGCGCCTACCAGTGTCACCTCTGTTACAAGAGTTTTGTGCAGAAACAGACCCTCAAGGCACACATGATCGTCCACTCTGACGTGAAGCCTTTCAAATGCAAGGTGGGCAGGGGGCCCTGGGAGAGTGCGGAAAGGGGGGACTCTGAGGGTTGTGCAAACGCCCAATGGGGAAGAGTCTCCAGGGAACCCTCTATTCCATTTCATCAGGACCACAGAAACTCAGAGTAAGTCCATGGCCAACCCCAGGCTCATCTGCTGCTCTTTCTCTCTTTCCACCACACCTATGCTCACACCAATCCTCAGCTTGGCCCTGCTTGTCTCACTGCGGAATCAGTTCCTGGGAGTAAAGGCACCAGTAGAGGAAGGTCTGAGGGTGGAAGGACCACTTGGGGAATGAGGTGGTTCAAGGATGAAGGGATGTGGAGCGCTCCTGTTCTAGAAAGGAGCAATCCAGTGTGGCCCTCTTCCCTGTACAAGCCAATGAGTAGAATACAGAAAGGAGTCAGAGAAGCTTCTAGCACTTCCCCCACTCCCATCTCACCCCTCCCCTCCTGCCCTCCTGATACTTGGGCTAAGTGGCATAACTTGAAGGCAGGTCTTCCAGAGAGGATGGCAGATATTCTGAGGCTAGCCCTCAGATGACCTCAGAAATGCTTGCTTGGGCCGAGGAATGAGTGTGAGCACAGTCATCTGAAGCATTTCTCACTTATTCCTAAGGACCTGGAGCACCTTTGTTAAAGTCTCCGTGTCACATTAACTTGCTTGGATTTTTATTTCATCAGCTGAGATAATGTGTGAGCTGAAGATTTGTAAAACCCAAGGCACTGGTGGTGTCACTCAGAAATGCTTGGGCTTCCCAGGCTGTCCCCTCCCAACATTGTTGCTCTTCACTTCTAAGAGGAAAAGGAGTCTTGCTCAGGATTGGGTAGTTTCATCCAAGGAATGTACCAGCATGTGTCATTGAATGCACGTCTTGAGGAGGGAGCTGAGGGGAAGAAGAGGGAAATCACCATGTTCAGCTAACGCTAAGCTTTTCTGTTGGAAATGGAAGTTTCTCTTCTCTCTGTTACTGCATGTCTGATGCGGTCCAAATGATATTCTCAGTCGATTCCTATTTCTGAAGTAGGGTGTTCTGCTTCCAGGGGCTGTTCGTGCGTTCATGCCCCTGCAGCATGTCTCCCCACTTGAAGGAACCCCCTGTGAAGCCAAGTTCTTTCCTGTGTTGGCCACTCCTGGACAGGGTGAGAGGGGTCAGGAACCAGAGCTTCCCTAGACCTGTGTGGGCATTCTCCGGAGGTGGGGGAGGGAGATTTCTCCCTCCAGCCCTTTTCCTGCCACCCACTTGTGTTTCCCCTCCTTTTCTTCAAGTTCTAGAAGTTTGAAAGTCAATTTATGTCCATCTTGAGTCATCTGAGCTGGACAGGGAGGAAGCTGCATGTAGGACCTGGTACAAAAGGAACATGTGAGGCCCTTTGTTCAAATGTTAGGAAGAATTTAAGATAGTAAAAACAGAGCATTATGCAGAACTCAGGGCCCTTCTGAGTTTGGGGTCCTGTGTGACGGCCTAGGCTGCACGCCTTCCTGTGTGAGCCAGTGGACACCATAGACCAACTCCTCTCTCTCTCTAGGCACTTCTTTGATTTCCTACCCACTTCACTAAGCCCTTTGACCCCTGCACTTTTAATAGAGCTGTTTCTGCCTGCCAGGGTTTCCTGTCTTCTACAATGGAGGTGCAAACAGGAGCTCTTTTCCACGCTTCATTCCTGTGTTGAATTTACTCTTGGACTTCAAGCACTTTCTATATTTTTTATCTTATCAACTGGTGGTAGAGAGCACATAAAGTTGTTAAAATATGAAGGGAGCCATTGCATAATTAGCCATTGCATAGTTCCCTAAAATTTTATACCTGTCCAGTCCAACCAACTCCCACCTCCACCTCATCAATTCAGGTCCAGAAGTAGTGGTTAAACCAGGAAGAAAATGTCTCTGAAACAGAGGGATATGTCAGGGGGCAGAGCCAATACAGGAGAAGGGCTTGCAGGCTATGTGTGACTTAGGGCCACAGAGACAGTCCTATTTCTTTATATCAGGGGCCTCAGAGGGGCCTGGAAGATTTCATGGCCCTGGTGGTATCTAAGGATTTAGAGGGTTCTCTCTGGTACCAGTTCATAGAAGACTGTACAATGCAAGTATAAGAAGGGCCCAGTGATGCATTGAGCCAGCCTGGCTTGATGTTTCAGGCCTCCCTTCATAAACAACTGCTCCCTCTTCCCCAGTGATAGGGCACCACACATGGGTGTCTGATGGCTAACTTTATGGCTCAGAAACTCAACTCGACTTCTCTTTGAGTGTGCATTAGGCTCTGGATATCTGGTCACACCATGAGAGGGGGACTTGTAGCCTAAAATGCCAGCTCTGAAACACAGTTTATACTCTCCAAGGGGAGATGGGCCTGGAGCAGCAACTGGGATGGTATCTTCAGGGTCACTTCTTCCTGGGACCTAGGTCTCTCAGCAGCTGTAGGTCAGGAGGCCTAGAAGAGTGCATATACTAGTATCATTAGAACAAAAAGAATTGGATATTAAAGGGGAATTTTTTAAAAAATCAAACGCAGGTGGCCCTTCTCCATTCTTAGACTTTTCTAAAACAAGAACAGGTGTCAGTCACCTTGAATAAGAGCTCTCTGTCTCCTGGAAAGTGCCAGAAACATACCACAGGTTCTTCCTCTATTTGTTCCCATCTCCCTGCAAGGTGCCACCCTGCTCAGTGTCCCCTTCCTACTATCACCCTCCTCACTTCAAAGGCATTTCAGAGCCTGTCTGAGTTCACAGGCTATGTAATGGGCCTCTGTGTGTTGGAAAACTAGCTCCAGATGCCACGGTGAAATGGATCACCTTGAGAGGGTGTCCTGCGGACTTTGATTCCCATCCAATGTTGTGCCGGATTCTTGGCAGTCTGGCCCTGGGTGGAGCTTGTTGGGGATTTGAGAGTTGGGAAAGGAATGGAGGGCCATTTGCTCATTGCTGTGTAATCCAGAGCCTTCGGAGAGAAGTGGCTGGCAGGCTACATAGTGATGGTGGAGAACAGGGCCAGGCAACTAAACCAAGGCTTGATCATGGTGACAGGGCAGGCATTTCCCTCACAGGGTTGGCATGGCTGGGGGAGGGGGGGGAGTAGCGGAGAAGGGCAGGCCTTGCTCCTGCCATACTCTGAGCGGGAGCTCTGTCTCCTTTACCCCCACCATGAAAAAAAAGAAAAAAGGAGAGTCTTTAAGTAACAGATTCTAATTTCTTAGGAACTCTCCCCACTAAAAATCCTTCCTAAAATAAACCCCTCCCCCTGTTGCAATATGAACTGGTTCTCTTCAGTCTGTGCTCAGTGGAAACAGCTGTCCTCAGCAAGCAGCAAAGTTCACTCACGGTGGGATTAAGCAGTAACAATAGAATGGAAAATTAGAGGAGAAGAAAGGTTTCCATTCTGTTTCTTTTTCTTTCCTTATAAAAAGAAATTACTGCCCTTCTGGGCTCTTTTGCTATTGGCTCGGCTCCTGGACTCCTAGCTCTTGGAGCCAGCTGGAGCTGGTCCAGAGACCTGCGCCTGTGCACTTAAGCTTGTTTCAGAAAGATGCTTCCCAGATTCTGCGTAAGCACGCGGGGGTCGACTTGGATGCTATCCTTGTAGCGGCCACACTCCATAAAAGCAAAGAACCAGCTGCCGTCTTTGGGAAACCTGTCCAGGAAAAGCAGCCATCCAGAATTTCCGGGACACATTCTCCTTTGAGATGGGTGAAGCCGGGAGCTGCCTAAGTTATGAATCACCAGGTCATCTGCAGCCTGGTCTGATGCAGATGCCTGAAGGCCAAGGGCAGAGCCGCTAGAAGAGGATGAGGTCTCCTTGAAAAGGGTCCCCACCGCCTCTGCCAAACAGGCCCCATCTTCCCTTCCGGCTCTTGGATGCCTCATGGGGGAGAAACCATGTGGGGACTTTTAGGGGCTCAGTACTTGGAACCAAGGCTCTCAGGCTGGCATTGAGGGGGTTAAGGCAGTGACCAGATAGCAGCCTTTTGGCAGCAAAGCCCTCCTCGGCAGAAGGAAGGATATAGCTGTATGAACTGCCTGCTTAACAATGCCTCACATGTCCCCAGGGGCCGGCCTGCAAATAGATTTCATCTTGCTTTCTCTTGTACTTTTCAAAGCTTCCTGTTTTCTCACGGCCCTTTTGGACAGTTTACAGTCTCTCTCTCCCTCCCTCCCTCTCTCTCCCTTTGAGGAAAGGAACACCCTTCTTATTAAAAGAGAGAGAGAGAAAAGAATGTAAGGGAAGGGCAGCTTAGCGGAGGCCATTCTCCTGGGCTGCAGGCTGCAGCTCTTTGACCTTTTCTCCCAGAATAGGAAAACACAGGCTTCCTGGCGCATCCCAGTCCTCAGGCTCACACAGGCTGGTTGGCACAAAGCAGTGTGGCTCTTCTTGGCTTCGTGGGACTCTGGCCCCCGCCCAGCCCCTGCCCCGCTGCACACAGCCGCCTGGGCTGTCAGCATCATCACTGGGACTCATGGGAAGTTGCCTGAGGCATCTCCAGGCCCTGGGTCAGGGAGGGAAGAGGCACCGGGGAGCTGGAATTCGAAACTCCTATGAAGATGAGGAACAGGGCTCCTGTCAGCTGTTTAGCGGGCTGAGGATCAGGGAGCCAGATACTGGGTTCCCCCAAAACCTGCAGTCTAAAGGAATCTTCTCTTTCCATCCACATTTCCCAGTGCTGGGTCAGGCACAACTGCCTCCATCTCTGTTATGCTTCAGGTAACCTGGCAGGTATTTACACAAAGGATCCCTCACTTCCTTCAGTATTCCCTGCAAATAATTTGCTTTAAAAAGACAGCACCCCCATCTTCAAAGATCTTCCTATTTCTGGAATGTAAGAGCATAGTACACAATAATGATAGTAATAAAAACTCATATTTATTGAGCTCTATTTGCCAAACCCTTTACATGAATTGTCTCATTTGATCTTTATAAAAAACTATTTCTATCATCGACATTTTAGGGAAGAGAAAATGGAGAGCTCATTCTCTATCCCTCTGAGGTCTCACCATCACCTCTCTGCTCTGCCCTCTCAAAGCCTAATGACCCATGCAACCCACTATTAAAGGACAGTTCAAAACATTTGTTCCAATTTTCTATTAAATGTTGAGATCCACCTACTTCTTGACAAGTAGGTATAAATGTGGGCATCGATGGGAAAGCTGAGACTTCATATCAGGCTCACTAATATCCCTCATTAGAGAACTGGGAGTTTAAGAAGGGTGGGTGGTTGAGATGACCACCTGCAAGAGGAACGCTGTCCTCTCCACTCCAGCAGCGTCCCCCTCCAATACCTGCCCGTATCTGAATCTTCGCAGACCTGGGCGGGAGATGATGCAGCAAGTATTGCCTTGAGCAAACTCGTAGCCTCACCTGTTGTGATGAAAGGGGGCATTGACATTGATGGCTGCTTTTCTCAGAAGAAGAAACTAGGGTTATGGTGCTCCCTCTTACCCCGAATTCTTCCTTCTAGTCTAACTTCCTTCCTCTGCCACAGGGACTATGCTTGGAGCTCATATCTCAAACCACAGCACCATCTTTAATGGACCCAGTCTTCTTTCTCTGGTCCCCCTTTGCTGGACACTGAGGTTAGCCACAAAGACAAGGAAGGTAGCCCTAGCACTTCTGAAGGTGCTTTCGGCATCTTTCAGAGTTCACATACCTCCAACTCAGCCTGGGAGAGCTCTCCATTGGCGGCCCAGTAAGCTACGTAAACCATGAAGGATAACACTGGTAAATAAAAATTAATTTTTACCAATAGCACAGCAAGCAGTCTCCTTTACCAATCACACATCAGAAAATATAGCTTCCCGGTCATGTCCCACAGTGGACCTTCCCTGAGGCCATAGGCTTTGACTTCAGAGGACAATATCAATGTCCCAATGTCCCCACGTAGCATTGAAATGTCCCAGGAAGTTTAGTCGTGAATGTATTGAGTCAGAAAAGAAACATTAGAATAGAAAAACACACACTGGGCTTTGATAAAGGATCATAAAATGTTGCTTGTCTAAGGCCGAGGAAGATTCTAGGAAATGCCCCGTGGTAGCCATTGTGATGTATGCACACCTCTGTGTGTCGGGGGAGAAGGGTGAGGGGAAGAGAGGTGGGACCTTGGGGCAGGTGAAGTGCAGGGTCTTCTCTGACCCCAACGTTATAGCAGTTGTGGCAGCAACAGTGATTGATCATTATCACAGCAGTGACAGTGACCTTGCCTGTGCCTAAGATTGAGGGCGATATCTAAACATGTTTAATGAAAAGACTATTCTTGTGGCAAAACAAACCCCCCAAAAGGGTACTCTACACATTCTTCAAGGTTAGGCTAAAATCCCATCTCTTCTATAAGACCCTTTCAGAAGTCCAGCTTCTAATATCTCGGCAACCATAGATAATAACTAACAGTGGAATTTTGCCCTTCATGGGATCCAAGTGCAGAAGGCACCCATCTTGTCCTTTCAGTTTTCTCGGTTGGCCTGCAGGACCATGAAGCCCATTTAGGCTTGGACTAGCACAGTAGCCCAACTGATCCTCCAGCCTCCAGCTCCTCTCTCCCTGCATGTCTTCTCGTTGGGCAGCGGGGAGGGGGAAGGAGGTAGAGCTAATTTTGCTGTTTATGAGTCTTCTGCTGCAGCATCATGCCAAATAATTAGGAACCAAATGAAATATACTTTTTCTAAAACGACCATGACTTGAATATCTAATGCAGAATCTTTAGATTCAAAGCTTTTGTTTTTCTGTAGCCAGGACGGAGAACTGCATAAACTAAGCTAATAAATAGATCACAAAAGGTTTCCAGAACTTGCACACATGTGCAAAACTTAGGTTGATAATATCTTAATACATTGTCTCTATTGAAAATAAAAGTAAGCAAATATCCGTCCCACATGTAGGGCTCCTGAAGATGTTGAAAATTAGACCAACTCTCTCAATCTTTCCCTTCTTGGGTCAGCATTTCCAAATGAATGTGGTGTGCACATACTCTGAGTACTGAGTGTGGGAATTCATCTTTGCTAGTAAGGAAGTAAAAAGGGAAAAAGTACTTAAAACTCCCAAATATGAATCATTTAAAAATACAGAACCAGCCATTCATTATCCATGTGTGGATTATCTGTGACGAATTTATAACCCCAGGCTGGCTTCCTCCTACCATCCAGCATTCTTTTGAGCTAATCTCTCAAGGTCACCATTTGTTAGGTCTGCCCATTCTGCCAAGGCTAGCTCCACTCTCACCTCCATAGCCACACGAGGAAAACGTTGCCTTCCTTAACAAGAAGTCAATCCAGAATCCCCGACAATGGCCCTGAAAATCCCTCTCAGGAAGAGAGGAGAACATGTCAGCTTTAGAGGACGCTGCACTCCCAGTCCTCTCTCCGTGGTATCTCTCACTCCGAACTGGCTTCTGAGGTTGGGGTGGGACGGGGATGTTCCTCCCTTGACACTGTGTCCAAGCACACCCAAGGAGGGCCGGAGTCTCCAAACCCTGCCTTGCTCAGGCTTGGGGACAACAAGAGCGAGCAAAGCACATGCTCCCCACCTGCACACAGCGCCTTGGAAGAGACAGTGTCTCTTCTGAAAGAAGCTGGAGAACCACGGTCGTGGTCCATCATGCATTTGCACTTTAATGGAAATAAAGAGAAATGACAAAGAAAAAAAATGAATAAAACATGTTTACTTCTTTAAAACCTGAGATAATGTTTTCAGTACTTCAAACCTCTACCCAGAGAAAAGACAATCCTTCCTTTACATGTCTCCATCTTCCTTTTGACTTTGAAATTCATTCCAATAATTAGCACATTTAAAAATTAGAAAAGTATGGTGTGGTGGCTGACCACGTGGCCTCTGGTGTCCAATGGCCTGAGTTCATTATCCCAACTCCAGCACCCACTAGCTGTGTGCCTTGGCCAATCTTAATCCCTCAGTTTGTCCATCTGTAAAATGGGGGTGACAATAGTACACACCTCATAGGACTGATGTGAAAATTAAGTGTGACATTCCATGGCAGACTGGCGATAGTGCCTTCCATATTGCAAATGCTCCATAAATATTAAGCAAGTAACTGTATCGTTATTATTCAAGTGAAGCACACTTTGAGCAATTGCTTTTCAGATCAGCTTTTCTCCTTTTCAAAAGGTGCAAAAGAAGCTTTAATAGCTTTGTGATTTTTACCTTGAGTTTTAAATCCTTTACCACAGGAACAAAATCTCAAGAGACCACCCCTACCTGCTGCGCTTCTGCGCCTGGGCACAATCCACCCCCTCCTTGATTTCCACGGGGACATTTTCTTTGCAAGCCACTTGAAATGCCCAGATTCAAGCAAAGGGCCTCACAGGGGTCTGGCTGTGGGTTCACCGGGGCGGGGTCCCCTGCCTGCAAGTAACCTGTGTTCTCCTTGTCACTGTCTCCGACAGCTGTGTGGGAAGGAGTTCAACCGGATGCACAACCTGATGGGCCACATGCACCTGCATTCTGACAGCAAACCCTTCAAGTGCCTCTACTGCCCCAGCAAATTCACCCTGAAGGGGAACCTGACGCGCCACATGAAAGTCAAGCACGGTGTCATGGAGCGGGGCCTCCATTCTCAAGGTATTAATCTTCCATGAAGCCCCCATGCCTGTGAGGCCAGTGGGTAACAAATGGGCAGTGACCTTGTTTACAGGGGGCTTCGCTTTATTCTTATGGTTGAAAAAGGGAGTGTAACTTTCAAGACTACAGCAGGGTAGCAGGAGCAAGCTGCCAATGTTATGATAACAAATAAAATGCTAATATCTGAAGGCAGCAAGTACAAATGAAGTCTAGAAAGACAACTGGAACATTGTAATGATGCCAGCTTCAGGCTGGAGGGACTTCCGTTGTCCCCGTTTTACAGATGGGGGAACTGAGGCTTCCCAACATTAATTTGCCAGAAGTTGGTCAACTGAAAACTGGCAGAGCCAGGATTTGAACACCGACCTTTCTGACTCTAAAGCCTGTCTTGTGTACACTTTGCCACACGGCTGTTAAAGGGCATGCGGTTTTTCTCCCCTTTTGGGAAAACAGGTCTGCAAGCTCTGTTGTCAGCAGAGGTCTGTCTGTAGCAGGCAGGAGCCTCCTCTTACCTGTTCAGGACCAGACAGGTTCAAGGGCAGTTCTCCTGCTCAGTGGGAGCTATGTCTCCCTCCCTAAGTCCTGACTGAATGGATGGAAAGTTCTCGCCTTGTTTGTCAGTCCCAGGGCCCCCAGAGTTCATGTTCCAGATCTGCCGAACTTGGCAGGTTGCTCCTTGGTCACCTAACCAGGCAGTCTTTCAATAGGCAGTAAGTGCAGTCCATCCTAGGCATGTGCTCTGAGCCCTGGCAGCAGTGAGGGACGGAGACCAGCTTTGTCCTCTGGGAGGTCTGCGTGTAGGGAGAGAAAACATACATAGAGGTAACTTACATGGTGTTAGCTGGCCGCTCTTTTCTGGTCACTAGTATGATCAAAGCACAGAGCTCATTCCCACAATTCCACAAAGTAGACTGCGTTGTTCTCATGTTATACAAGAGGAGGCCAAGGCCGGGAGGTGTGATATGAACTGCTCAAGGTTAAACAGCAAGTCTGAAGGCAGAACTGGGGTTCCAATTCAAGAATTTCTGAGTCAAGCCAGTGCTCACCACACCAGGTGAAAACACAGGTGACTCATTTGTGTTTGCTCTTCCTCCCACCCTTTTCCAAAAGAGATGGTCAGATAGGCACACATATTCATAAACAAGGAGCACACAACAGAATGATTGTGATTTTCAGATTTTTACAATGTCGCCCTGACTCCTGGGCGACAGGGAACTGTGGTCATAAAGCAAGGCCTAGAGTTGGTGCAAAAGCCCTGAAAAATTCTGGTTAAAAAGCAAAAGCAATTTTTCCACCCTAACCATGTTTTTCACCTGAATTATTCTTCACGTCTCTGGTTGCCTGAGCGGCTTCCCAAGTTAGGCCTGGATTTTTCCAGAACAGGTGAAGTGTATTCAGTTGCCAGGGCTGGAGACATAGAAGGCCATGATGAGACAGGCCTGCACCTGAACACCTAACCTGCTCACCACAGCTTGTCCCTATGGACACTCAGAAGCCTACCAGGCACCTGACAACTCTATCATTCTGGAAAAATAAAGAACATCACTATGTATCACAGAGCTGCTTTGAAAACTTTTAACAGACTTGCAACTATTTTAATGTTTTCATCTACAAAAGGGGTCAGTAATTTTTCATTCCAGTTTTTGAAATGGCTCAAAATCCAAGGCCCAGATCAAAAAGACCCTCCCTGTGCCCCCAACAAGATTAAAGCTATAGACAGCTTCCTTGCCTGACGGCATCTTGAGGCTGGCAGCGCTGGACATCAGCTTCCTTTGTGTCTCCCCACCCAGAAGCCTGGTCCTCCTGCGGTGCTGCAGGTTCTGGCTGCAGCCCAGGCCCATCCCTCCCAGTTCGCCTCTCCAGCCGCCCCCACCTGTTTCTCAGGACCTTACTACGGCCAAGATCAAATCAGGTGGAGCTCTGCCATGGGCCTGTTGGCTCCTGGAAAGTGTGTGAGTCCTCAAACTAAACTAACAGTGAGGCCCTCTCACATCACTGTACCTGATAGCAGGGACACTTGTAGTTGGACACAGGGCCTCTGGGGTCCCCAGGGGACCTCTTTATGGGATATCTTTTTTTTCCCAGGGTGGAAATATCTTTATTATTGTTTTATCTTTTTTCTTTTTTCTTTTTTATTCCTTAAAGTATTACAAAGGGTATTACATATGTGTCCTTTTTTCCCCCCGCCCTTGACAATCCCCTGGCCTCCCCTACCCCCCAGTGTCTTATGTCCATTGGTTATGCTTATATGCATGCATACAAGTCCTTCGGTTGATAAAAGAAATGCTTGCTGAAAATAAAAAAAAAAAATTAGAAATAAAAAGAAAAAATGTCAAAAATCACCTCATTTTTTAGATTGTTGACATCCTTTTTTTAAGAGACAGGAAGAGGGAATGAGTGAACTGGGTCTACACTATAAATATACATAATAAGTATATATGTGTTATACTTAAAATATATAGAGAATACCTCTTTATGTTATTAGGTCTCTACATCTCCCACACACAGTTCATTGTGTGGATGCACTATTATTTATTTAAACAAACCTCCACCATTAAGTAGATACATTGTCGTCACAGTTTCATTATTAAAAATGTGGTGATGAGCACACTCACACACAGACTTGTTCACCTGCAAATTTGCATAGTTTAAATTCTCAGTAATTGCTAAGTGTGAGCAAGGCTTGTTTTTAGCTTTTGGCGCCTGTTGCCAAATTCACCTTAGAGGGGTCACCCCCATGTAGATTCTTTCTGGGTGTTTATCTATTCTTAAACTGTAAAATCAAGCTACACTGAACGGCCCTGGGTACCACCAGCCACCCCTTTTCAAAGGCTTTTCCAGGGCCTGAAGGCTGCCTCTGCTCTCACAGGTTTTGGAAGGGGGAGACTCGCCCTGGCGCAGGCGGGGGTCCTGAGGAGTCTGGAGCAGGAGGAGCCCTTCGACCTGTCCCAGAAGCGCCGGGCCTTCCAGTCTGACGGGGAGAGCGCCAGGGGCAGCTCCTGCCACGAAGAGGAGGATGAGGACCACTGCTGCGAGGTGGAGCGGGACAGCCCAGGCCCGGCCCCGCGGAGCAGGCAGCGCTGCGTGCCCCGGGATCTCTCCACCAAGCCCGAGCCGGCCCCCCGGGCGCCCCAGGAAGCCTGCGAGGAAGAAGAGAAGGAGGAGGGGGAGGAGGAGGAGGAGGAGGAGGAGGAGGAGGAGGAGGAGGAGGAGGAGGAGGAGGAGGAGGAGGAAGAGGAGGAGGAGGAGGAGGAGGAGGAGGCCGTGCAGAAGGAAGGACGCCAGGAGAAGAGCAAGGACAGCCATGGGGCAGAGGGCGGCCAGGAGAGAGATGGCGCCCGCAGAGAGGAGCATCCCAGCCTCAGGGCGCTGCAGAGCGCGCGGCGGGGGGCCTCCTTTTCTGATTACTTGTACTTCAAGCACAGAGATGAGAGTTTAAAAGAATTACTGGAGAGGAAAATGGAAAAACAAGCAGTGCTTTTAGGTATCTAAGTGGAGAGTTTTAGAATTACACTTGGAAAATGAGAAGCAGGCAGTTCAAATATAGCTTTCTGCATGAGCTGTCATTCGCTGGCGGCTGGCGACTGGCGACTGGCTCGCATCTTCACAGATGGCTCAGACTCCGTGAGGAGGGGCGTCCTCAGCCAGGGAAATGCTTCTCGGGTCATTCCGGGCCCTTGATTTTTAACGTCTCTCCGGTGTTATTTCTGCCTCTCCAATGCGAGACGCTGTGCACATTCTTCTAGGCATCTGATTGCAGGCCGATGCTGAGGTGCTTATAGAAATCCTACTTTTCTTTGACTACTATACAATACAAGGTAAATTTCTTTCAAGTGGCAAAACTATGGTGCTTGACATGATTCCTAATTAATGACTGTTTAGTTGAATGTGTGAAAGTTACAATATTTTTTCAGATAGATGAAAATATGAGTAGTTGTATATATAAAAGTTGCCTTTATTAAAAAACAAACAAACGAACAAAAAAACAAAAATACCAGAAATGACACAGGAGTTATTGAAAAGGAGTGTTCTCATATAGTCATTGCAGAAATAAGACAAAGTTTCAAGAGAAAATGAATAATTTTGACTAAGGAAAGCCCAGCCATGCTTAGGTTCCTGCCTGGGTCCGCCTTGCTGGGCTGCAGCCCCCTTCATTGGTGCGGCCTTAGGAGCGGATTTGCAGATGACGCTCAGTGCTCGTGCAGGCGTCCGGATTGGAGCGCCCTCCTGGAGCCCTTGCTAACGCAGCTGCAAGAGGAGTTGTCACTCTGTTAGCAGCTGGCTTCTCCTTGGGGCTAGAGCGGGGGCAGAAGGGGAAGGCTTCTCCATGAAACCCAAGGTCTGACTTGTTTGGAGAATTAGAATAACCAGCAGCTAATCACCAGTAGGGGAGAGGCTGGGCTGTGTTCTCAATGTGCCTGCACATTAGAATCAGCTTGGGGAGCCCTTTTAACAATACCTCATGTGGGTCCTCAGCCTCTGAGACTCTGATTGAATTGGCCTGAGTGGAGCCCTGCTTCGGTTATTTTCTAAATTGCCCCATGATTCTTCCGTGCAGCCAGGGTTGAGAAACACTGACTGGGCTAAAATAGTGACTCCCAGGACCCCCTCCCAGGGACTCCATAAATATTTCTGTGTCTGGCTTCAGACTCATTAGGAGAGAGAGAGCAGGAGACCTCGAAATCATACTGCTGACTTGGGCTTTTCACCTGTTCAGTAAGGGACACACACAGTATGAACACATGCTGTCTATATTTCAAGATGATGCCTGAGATGTTTATGGTAACTTAATATGTTTTAAAGTACATAGCCAGCTTATAGTGACTAATCACGTCTTCCTAGATGCTTGAATCGTGATTCCAGTGACTGCCTATGATTAGAATGGGTGGGCTGAGCCCGTAGGTAGGCTTCCCTTAGGCATGGCACCGAGTAACGCAGTGCAGACAGGATGTCACTTATGTGTAACTGACCATACGCAGGAACCCGCTGGTACTGTGTCTGTGTTTATGTAAAAACTGCCTCTAGGTTGGTAGTTTCAACTCTTATTTGTAGAGCTAGGTACTGTTTATTATTTTGCTTCCTCTCCTCTCAAAGTTCCCGATACATTTCCTTAGAAGACCTGGCCCATCTCTGACTGCTGGGTGCTAGCTTTTCCTCTTGGCCACGGTGCTTCCCCATCAGCCTCATCTCGTTCTCATCACTTACCCGGGTGCTTTGTCAATTCCTGATGCATTTCTCCTGCCACTGTGCCTAAAGCTCCTCTCTTCAGCCCCACCACCACCCAGTGTCAAAGCTGCTTAGGTTTCCTGCTGCCACCCATGTCCTTAGGTCAGAGCACCTGCAAAGGGATGCTGATGGATGATGTGGTTTCTGCAGTGACAAACACAACTCTGGGCCAAGAATCTGCCCCAAGTCCTCAGGGGGCAACTTGCTTTCCACTCATTATTAATATGGCTCATTGATGCCCTGATGAACTCACCCAGGAGGCGGACCATGAGGTCTGTGAGGTCCCCAGCTCTTAGGGTCCCGGTCCATACTTACTCTTTCAGCAGTTGTGTGTGGAGGAGCTACTATGAGGGCTGCAGACTTCCAGTTTGTTCTGGGTCTGGCTAGCTGGAAAAGGAACCAGGGAATCTAGAATAGCAAGCTCTAGTCCTCTCTGACCAAAATGGGTCATGTGGGAATGTTTGAGGAACAAGGGAATGTTGAGATGGAGAGAGTAAGGTCCAGGAGAGTGGTTTTCACATGGTCTATTGAGGAGCCCCTCTAGGGCTGCTAGGGAGAAGAGGGTCTCAGCCCTCAGGCCTATGTCACTCAGAGTGGTTCAGATTTCATCTGTTGTATATGTTAGACTTCTCAGTAAAATTTCATTTGAAGGGAGAAAGAGGTCTAAGGAAAGTAGTATAAAGTTGTAATGGAGAGTATTCTAAAGCCTGTGTATAGTTCTTGACTCTGAGTATAGATATTTAATTGGATCTAACCCCATGGTTAGTATACAATGGCCTTCTGAGAACCAAGGTTAAAATGTTGGTTTTGTATGTTTTTGAGTGACCAGCACCTGGTTTGCCTCAGACAACCCTGGTTTATACCTATTGTTCCAGGGTAATTACCAGTAGTGTGGCCTAAACTCTGAACATTGTCCCAGTTTGGGTAATAAATTCCAGGGACACCAATGCCTAGTGCAGAGCTCAGGAGAGAGTTAGCCAACCCGCCTAAGGGAGCTACTTAATCAGAATGAAAACCCATAGGAGAGCCTCAGAGTCCATCCTCAGAGAACCTCAGGGATGAAATCACCCAGGGTGACCAGCACTCCAGGGCCAGGACAGCATGGCATTCATCACATTGCAGCACTCTGAAAATAGGTCACTGCCAGATGCTTTCCAGGCTTTTGACCACTGTCACTCTGAACCAAACAACTGACCAGCCAAGTGGCATATTTTTCTTTATCCTTTCCATTCAGGCCTATCACTACCTCCTCTTATTGCCTTTTAAATCTTTTATTCTTTCTTTTTAAAAAAATTTGACTCCGCACTGGCCATGAGACTGAGGCTGACCTTTCATAACCCCGCAAGGATAACTGGTATATTTGCATTTGAGTAGCTACGTGAGAAAGCCCGATGTGCATACTGTATTTATTAAGCCCCGAGGCATCTAATAAAATATTAACATCGTGTTTTGAATCATGATCTTTGTCTGCTTTGCTGGAACAAAATGTAACGGAGCTAACATTTAAAATCCTTCACATATTTGGACAACATTACGCCAATGTTGATTCTGTACAGAATTCTGGCTTGCTATTTAAAAATGAAAACTCCAAGTATATAGTAGCATCAGGTTGTGAATATTGCTTTCTGCTTCAGTAAAAAAGCAGTTTACCTGAAAAGAGCATGTAGCCTATATTTTCTTAATTTAAGCAAATAAAGACATGTTGAAAAAACTGAGTTAGTTATTTGCAAACACCCACATTTTGCAAGGAAGCTGCCATTGTCAATGCCTATCCTATACCCTCTGCCAGGGGGGCTCCTCTGGGCTGGAACCTCAGCCCAGGGACACAGATGCTGGATTCTCCCTCACTCCTTCAGAAAGGATTACTGACCCTCGGCCCATCTGCTGGCAGGTGACATCTTCCTATCCTCTCCATCTTTCCTATTCAAAAAAACTAGTTCTGGAAGAGTGTCATGGGGAAGTGGGAGGTTAGAGGCCGTGTTGCCCATTCTGCATCAGGCTCTTTGTAGAATAAAGTTCAACCAAGAGGAAATGTACTTTAGTGGGCAAGAGCACAGCTTCTGGTGCCAGGTACCTGGGTTCAAAGCCCACCTCTCCCACTTTCAATCTTTGGGAACTGACACCAATTTGTGAACTGCTCTGTGCCTCAGTTTCTTCATCTGTAAAATGGGACTAAAAAAACAGCACCTTCCTCATCAGGTTGTTGTGTGGGTTGAGTTAATATATGTGAGACACTTATGTGCCTGGCTCACAGTTCATTCTACATAATATTAGGTATTATTATCATCAACAGAGTGGCCAGAAAACAGAACACTCAGCTCTCCCTCCTCATCAGAGAACTCACCAAGCAGTGTGGGCAGGGGAAACTGTCATTTTCTATGGGAGCTCCCTTTTTATTATTATTTTATTTTTTATATTTTTTTTATTGATTTTTTACAGAGGAAGAGAGAGGAATAGAGAGTTAGAAACATCCATGAGAGAGAAACATCGATCAGCTGCCTCTTGCACACCCCCTACTGGGGATGTGCCCGCAACCAAGGTACATGCCCTTGGCCGGAATCGAACCTGGGACCTTTCAGTCCGCAGGCTGACGCTCTATCCACTGAGCCAAACCAGTTAGGGTGGGAGCTCCCTTTTTAAACACTACAAACAGTTACATGCCGGCCACCGTGCGAAGCATTTACACACTCGATCTCAAGCCTCACACAACTCTGAGAAGAGTTATCTCCATTTCACGGATGCAGAAACAACTTGCTTGAAATTACCTGGTAAGCTCCTCCTTTGCCTTCAAAGCATTTAGGCTGTAGCCTGTTGAAGTTTCTGAAGCAGATGCTGAGACAAATGTGAGTGCAAAGTGCTAATTAGGAATTGGCATTAGCTAAAAGGAAGGGGAAAAAAGAAGACTGAGCAAAGAGAGAAGCCAAACTGTGAGGTAGGCCCAACCAAGCCCCAGCAGGCAGCTCTGGGGAAGGACTGCCCATCAGAGCTGTGCCACCTTGGGCAGAAGTTCAGGCCTTTGCATCCCCACTAGAAGGGCATGACCTCAGGCAGGTGTGACTCCAGCTGGGGCCAGCTCTCCAGGAGCCGGTGGCTGGAGGCTGTGTGCTGATTGCAGTCCTCACAGGTCATTGCAAGTCCTTCCTTGAAGAGAGACTAGTGACTCATCTCTGTGTCTAGCACAGTCCACCCCTTGCACCACGCCCATCCATGTCATGTACACACATGACAGCGTCTCCTCCAGGGTTCCAGGAGGCCTCTCTTCCTCA